TAACCTTGAAATACTTTATATGACAAAGTTTTTGGAAGTTATGGAGGAACATATTATTGAGTCGCCAACTAATCCCACCAAAGTTTTTCTTTGCGAATCGCGTTGTAAACGATCGCGGGACACGATACATTTCTTGTCAATAACATGTAGTATGCCACATTGGTCCGAGAAAATCGCCCGCCAACGCGATCTTCGTCAAATTCCCGACTTTGACGTTATACTAATTATTTGCTTGCAATCAAGAGGAAGAGTCTGTGAAACATGCAACAATACTCTATCAAAGCAAGCCAGGAAACTATCCCTCAACAAGGAAGCAACCATTTAACTTCAAAGGGGGTATGGTTTTCTTGTCTGAGCTCGAACATTTTTTTCCGCCTCCATCAATCAAATATAAACACTATAAAATATGGGGAAATCAGAATTCATTAAATTTTTTGGTCATAAATTTTGCCTGACAACAATATTTTTCCATCGAATTGGGGATCAGACAATATTTTTTTTTTGGAATAAATCTTACCCCTCCCCCTTTTTCACCTTTTGAAGTTAAATGGTCGTTCCTTTATGTAAATAACCAGCACAAAGACTTTCATTATCTTTTTTCTACATTCCAAGACGACCTTCGCACTGTTCAAACCAACCTTGAAAACGTTGTCCTTACAAATACTTACCTCCATGTTATTGTCTAAAGTCTGATTATTTAAAAACAAATATTTCAGTCTCTGCACCCAACATTTACAATCAACCAAGCCGTCGCTAACACGGTGCTTAAAAGAACAGCGGCTTGGATTAAAATTGTACTTGTAGACAGTCTTTGATAATCTGTTACAGTTTTATACAAGAGTAAGTCCTTTGTTGTTAATAATAAAAACGGAACTATTATCATGTTTTGGAAAATATCGACAATTTGCTTGATATTGACAAATCAAAAATTCAAGTCACATGGTAATTGTTGGGGATGCTAAAACCTTTGACACATTTTTTAAGTTTAAAAATGAATATACTGAAGACCATTTTTGGGTGTTAACATTTCCGGTTGACTGGCATATTTTATAGAATGTACAGCCTGTTTTATTTAAAATTTATTTTGATCATGATGCTGGTCTTTCAAAAGATAACGAAAATTAAGCATATGTTCTTTTAACTGTTCTTGAACAGAACTCCAATCTAAAAAAAAAAAAAGAGTTCAGATGATCAAGTTCTTTGAACAAAGAGAGAGGGGAAACCAATGGCACTGCTATATCATCTCAGCAATTATATATCACAAAAAATATAGCTTGTGTTAATAAATATATGAAGCAGAAGAAAAACAACTGTGCATCTGAATTACCATCAATATTACAAATATATGAAGGATACATTAACATCCCTTCTGTTATGGATAGGTTTGACAAATTCTGTATGGAAAAAAAAGACAGTTCCTATTGTGGGATAATTTTATTCATATAGATTATTTCTCCTACATATCTTTATATATTGCTTTCTATAGTTCAAATTGGAATCTCAGATAAGCATCACTTTAAAACCTCTCCCCTCTGTTCCATGCCTTTGGTCGGCATATGTACTTCAGAATAATTCCAAGACATCTGATTGTCAGATGTATAGCAGAACTTCCACACAACATTTAAACGTGCTTTCAAAATGGGGGCTTTTCTGTCAGCGTAACAGATAGGGCATGTCAATTGCTAGCACTACTAGACGAGGCTCATTAGTCTCTTATACACTGTGATGTTAAGGAATTTATTCGGGAACAATCTCCATAATTTCTTGATAAAACTACTGTCTATCATCCTTTTCGACACTGCAAAAAAAAAATCAAACAAGCAATTAAAGCGAGGGTTCCAACCCCATGTTCTCCATACAAACGGATCTGAACACAGGACTCTTCCCCGAATCTGCCACTGGATTTATACATCAGATGCATCACAAAATATATACATGTTATGATATATACAAGTATATGAAATAAAGAAAAATATAAAAAGAAAATGTTGAATTATCATTAATGTCTACGAAACCACAAGATCCTACTTAATTGACCATGTTTTCAAATCATATCAAATGTTTCCATTGGTCTTTACTTGTCGGAAAAATGTACTCAATTCATTGTTTATTAAATTATCAATGTTCGGTTATTGCACATTCTTTAGAGCTGTCTGTTTAACTAATGAATTGAAAAAGAGGGGATGGATATACGTATTTAACATTTGGCTATATTTTCAACATATCTAACAAATATGTGAGAAAAGTTAGGTTTAGAATACGAAATATCTGTCTTATTCTGTAAACAGGTATTGTAGGATTGTTAAGGTATTTCGGTGTTTTTAAAGCACCCCCTTTTTAGCTCACCGGGGCCCGAAGGGCCCCATGTGAGCTTATGCCATCACTTGGCGTCCGTCGTCGTCTGTCGTCGTCTGTTGTCGTCTGTCGTCGTAAACTATTTCAAAAATCTTTTCCTCTGAAACTACTAGGCCAAATACCTTCAAACTTTAACTAAATGTTCCTTAGGGTATCTAGTTTATAAATTGTATCCGATGTTTTGATCCATCGACAAACATGGCCGCCATGGCTAAAAATAGAACATAGGGGTCAAATGCAGTTTTTGGCTTATATCTCAAAAACTAAAGCTTTTAGAGCAAATCTGACATGGGGTAAAATTGTTAAATTGGTCAAGATCTATCGGCCCTGAAATTTTCAGACGAATCGAACAACCCATTGTTGGGTTGCTGCCACCGAATTGGTAGTTTTAACAAAATTTTGCAGTTTTTTTATATTATTTTTTATATTATTATAGATATATATAAACTGTAAGCAGCAATAATGTTCAGCAAAGTTAGATCTACAAAGAAGTTAATATGACCATAATTGTCAATTGACCCCTTAAGGAGTTATTGTCCTTTAAAGACAATTTTACACAATTTGTTCATCAAGTTTGCTCACATTTGAAAATATTCTCCTCTGAAACTACTGGGCCAATTACCTTCAAACTTTAACTAAATGTTCCTTAGGGTATCTAGTTTATAAATTGTATCCGATGTTTTGATCCATCGACAAACATGGCCGCCATGGCTAAAAATAGAACATAGGGGTCAAATGCAGTTTTTGGCTTATATCTCAAAAACTAAAGCTTTTAGAGCAAATCTGACATGGGGTAAAATTGTTTGATTGGTCAAGTTCTATCGGCCCTGAAATTTTCAGACGAATCGAACAACCCATTGTTGGGTTGCTGCCACCGAATTGGTAGTTTTAACAAAATTTTGCAGTTTTTGTTATTATTTTGAATATTACTATAGATATATGTAAACTGTAAGCAGCAATAATGTTCAGCAAAGTAAGATCTACAAAAAAGTTAATATGACCCAAATTATCAATTGACCCCTTAAGGAGTTATTGCCCTTCAAAGACAATTTTACACAATTTGTTCATTAAGTTTGCTAACATTTAAAAATCTTCTCCTCTGAAATACAGGTGAGTGATTCAGGCTCTTGAGAGCCTCTTGTTTGTAATATACACCACAAAAACATTTAGTTAGGATAAAGAACCAATAACCAGTAGTCCTATAATATAAGACTTCGGAGGTTCATATCATTTACATTCAACGTTTTTTATTGGATTTTTTTTTTATTATCAATGTTGAATTTCATGTCATTTACATTCAACGTTTTTTATCGGATTTTTTTTACTACCAATGTTGAATTTCATGTCATTTACATTCAACGTTTTTTATCGGATTTTTTTTTACTATCAATGTTGACGGTTCAATATTGATAGTAAAAAAAAATCCGATAAAAAACGTTGAATGTACTAGTAAATGATATGAACCTCAGAGGTCTTATATTATAGGACTATATATAAGACTTCCGAGGTTCATATCATTTACATTAAACGTTTTTATCGGATTTTTTTTTTACTATCAACCGTGCAACATTGAAAGTAAAAAAAAATCCGACAAAAAACGTTGAATGTAAATGATATGAACCTCCAAAGTCTTATATTATAGGACTACAATAACCCGGTAAATAGAATAATTGAAATTGAGTTAATTGTGTGTGAGAGGCGCTTTTTAGCAACTTTATGAGTGTGTATTATATAATAATGTTACAGTGTAACAAACCTATCAAACACACCCGTAAAAAATAACATTATCTCCCCTAGAAATGCTTAACAACAAGACACAAAAAACTGCTACCTTTTTTTGCCCTATATCACATAATTATGAAAACACATTAGATAGACAGGGGATACGTTGGTTGTGTACATGTTTGAATGTGTAGGTGGCACACTCAGAACGATCGTCTCTAGATTTAAAAAAAAAATTCTACCATCGGTTTCCGGGGTCTCGTAGCAACACGTTTCTTTCCATTCCAGCTATTCCTGAGTATGTATTAATCTAAAACATGCATTTATCTTAAAGCAACAACTATTAAACAACTCACCTATACCAATGGGGATCTTCTTATTCCTAACTGATTTCTTTAATCGTACCTGTCCTGACGACACCCATCGTTGTCGCGTCTACCATTGGAGGTAGCGAAATTACATGATTTGACAGGAGAGCGAAATAAACAAGGGGAGCAATTTTATGGAACCACATCCCGGACTGCTGTGATAACGATACAAGTTGTAATGTAAAAACCAAAACGGTTCATTGATTTCAAAGATACTCTAAGGTATTCATTAAAAATCCCTGCATATTGAAGATACGCAATGAAAAAAGACTACAAAGTTACCTCACAAGGAACAATTAAACATCTAAAAAATTAATGAGGCGGCTTCTTAGATTACAATATTATTTGAAAAATTTGAGTTAAAAGTTGGAAATGATTATTTCATTTGATAGTTAATTTTGTTAAATAGCTTTATAAAAATATGTGTACATGTATTATCACAAATTATGTAAATGTGATAGTACTATCAGACGACAACATTGTGATAATATAAAGCACTATCAGTCAATCGGTATATATATATATAATAAAGTGATTTGCGTCTTATTACTTCCTTGTTCAGAGGGGCGTTAAAATGGCGACGTCTATTGAGAGTCATGTTGTTGACATAACTACGTGTGCAATTTGTCTGGAGAAACTGAACATTCCAAAGTATTTACCGTGTTTACATACATTTTGTGAAAGTTGCTTACGGACCTATATTACTGCTATATTTGAGAAAGAACATAAACAAAGTATCGAATGTCCAGTTTGTAGGACTAGTGTAACTTTACCGAAGGAGGCCCGTACACCTGACGAATGGGCGAAAGTGTTACCACTGAATTTCCTAATCGTTGGACTATTGGAAAAAGAAAAAGTTGAGAGTCCACAAAAACAATGTATGGTATGTGAACGAATGGAAACAAAATCGGAGGCAAGTTTTATTTGTGTTGACTGTTCTGATTTATTATGTTCAAACTGTAAAAAACACCATAAAGCGAGCAAAACCTCATGTGACCACGAAATAAGACAAATTAATGAACTTTCATCGGTCACAGATTGTTTAAAGACCTTTAAAAATAAATGTTCCGAACATAAAGGAGAGGAACTCAAATTATTTTGTGCCGACAATCAGACTCCATGTTGTTCGATGTGTGTATCAATCCATCATCGGAGGTGTGAACATGTTCTTTCCATAGAAGATGCTGCTATGGAATATTCGAAATCTGACAAAATTGAGTATTTGAGAACCCAACTCGGAAATGTGAATTCAGATGTAAAAGCAATAATAAAAGATCGAAGTTCTGCAAAGGAAAATATAGAGAAGGAATATTATCAAAAACAAAAGGACCTTGAGATTATTTTCTGTGACCTTGTTGCCAAGATAAATGATCTCAAAGTCAGACGAGAAGCGGAACTTTTAAAAAATTACAACGAGGCAAAAGAAGCAATAGAAACTACTATAATAATCTTTCAAAATAAACAAAAAAATATAGAAAATGAAAAACAAATTCTAGATGCAGCTGTGAATATTGCATCCAATGTTCAAGTTATGATAGAAGTTGAAAAGTTGAAGAAACATGTAGAAGAACATAAACAATTGATTCAAACTAAGATTACGGAAATCGTGAATTATGAACTAGTACTGCAGAATGCAGAAAATATAACTAAATTAGCTGAACAAATGGAGAAGGAGTGTCAGATTTCATGCAAAAAAACAAACAAATGTATTGAACTGAGCAGTGTGACTGTAACGCCTAATTTCTCTGAAATATTTAGCTGCTGTCGTTTCGGAAAAGTTTTTTATGGTTGGAAAGTCGGTAGTTCCAAAAAAGACGCAATACGTTTTTCGCTATCAAAGGAAATAGAACTATGCGGACTTCTATCGTATGTATGTAGCGATGGATTATCGACATGTGACGTGAACGCCACAGTTAAACACGATACAACAGATCTTGTTGTAGTGACGGACACTATAGACAGTAAATTAGCCGAAAATAAAATGGTTAAAATTGAATTTCCAACACCAGTAAAGCTATTAGCTAATAAAAATTACCATGCTGTTATGTTGATGAGAGGTCCTCAATGTTATTATGGGGAAAATGGGAAAACTGTAGTAGACAGTCACGGTGTTGTGTTTACTTTTGAACATTCTCCGCTTAGTGATAATTTCACAAGTACGGGAAGTGGCCAAATTCCTGGATTTTTATTTAGAATTCCTGTATGAATCTTTTTATTGTAACTAACAGTACTTAACTTTCAAAGTGTGATATGTGATAGAATACTGCTTGGGCTAATGTGCTGATGGGCTTAACTTGTTTATCAGAAATTAATGGCGAAAATTAAAAAAACATACCTAGAAGAGCTTTTTTTAAATGTTAACATATCTTCTTCTTAATTTCAGGGTTTTAATAATTTTTTCAAGAGTCGTCAAAAAGGGAAACAGATACTTATAATTGGTTATCAAAAACATAAGTCGAAGACAGACAGACAGCTGTCCACAAAACAACTACACTAAATATTGAACAATATGAATGGCAAAAAAACGGGAGCTGAACTCACATGCTCCTGAATGGTAAGCAATTATAGTAAACGTTTATAAAAATCCGTCAATTTTGTTTGTTCCCTGCGTAACGCGTTGAGGGGGACATGGAAATATCGGGCGTCCGTCCGTCCGTCCGGTCTTGTTAGCGCTCTCACGTGTACAAGTCTTGCCAGATTTTTATGAAACTTATATCATAGGTTTATATCAGCAATGTCTTGGATGAGTTCGAAAATCAGTGCCGATCAATTATTTTTAAAAGAGTTATGCCCCTTGGAAGCATTTATTATATTGAAAATTGCATCGTTAGCGCTCTCATTTGTACAATTCTTGCCAGATTTTGATGAAACATATATCATAGGTTTATATTAGCAATGTCTTGGAAGAGTTCGAAAATCAGTGCCGATCAATTATTTTTAAAAGAGTTATGCCCTTGGAAACATTAATTTTATAGGAAATTGCATCGTTAGCGCTCTCATGTGTTCAATTCCTGCCAGATTTTTATGAAACTTATATCATAGGTTTATATCAGCAATGTCTTGGACGAGTTCGAAAATCAGTGCCGATCAATTATTTTTAAAAGAGTTATGCCCCTTGGAAAAATAAATTATATGGAGAATTGCATTGTTAGCGTTCTCATATGTACAATTCTTGCCAGAATTTTATGAAACTTAAATCACTGGTTTATATTAGCAATGTTTTGGACGAATTTGAAAATCAGTGCCGATCAAAATTTTTTAAAAGAGTTGTGCTCCTTGGAAATATTAATTTTATTTTATTAATTTTATGAGAGCTCTAATAAGTACAATTCTTCCATGATTTTTATGAAATTTACATTATAGGTTTATATCATCGATGTACTTGAAGAGTTCAAAAATCTGTGCTGATCAATTATTTTTAAAAGAGTTGTGCCCCTTAAAAATATTGATTATTTTATGAAACTTATATTCTAGGTTTATATCAGCAATGTCTATAACACTTTCGAAAATAAGTTCTGATCAAATATTTTTAACGAGTTATGCCCCTTGGAAATATAAATTAAAATGGAAATCACATTGCATTTGCTCTGAAGCCTTCATTTCTCTTAAGATATTAATAAACAGTTTTAAAGAGAAAAAAAAGTGCGTTTGTAGTAATTGCCCTTGTACCTTGGATAGATAAAATATGTGCAACGCGGGGGACATTGGTTCTTTTATTAATATTGATGGGCCGAGGCAACAACAATTACTGCGCCTTCCAAACTTTCTGATTTTCAAAATAAACGCTTAATTTACTATGGAGAATATGCTCAACAGGTCATCGGGTAAAAAACATAAATTAACATATACTTTGTTCAGAAAGTCAAAGAAAGGCGAAAGATACCAAAGGGACATTCAATCTCATAAGTCGAAAATAAACTGACAACACCATTGCAAAAAAAAAAAAGACCAAAAGACAAACAACAGTACACAAACACAACATACAAATGTACAGACTGAGCAACACGGACCCCACCAACAGGTCAACAAGTCATCGAGTCAAAAGGACACAAATTGAATACTCTACGTCTTAACTAGTTTTACGTTCTACATTTTTTTCATTTACAAGTATATACGTCAGCAAATTGACAAGTCGACAGATCAGGAAGTCGACAGTTCGACAGGACATAAAATTATTCTGGAAACATGTTGATATATCAATAGGTCGACAGGCCACCGGATCGATAGCTCGATCAACAAGTAAATAACATTGTCCTGATAAACAAGTCAACTGGTCAGCAGTTTAGCTGTCTATTTTAACTAGTCGACAGTACCGCAAGTCGACAAGTTGACAGGTCAGCAAGTCTACAGGTTAGCAAGTCAACAGGCCAACAGGTCGAACGATCACGAGACAATATCAATTATTCTTTATATCAATTCGTTATATGCTTTTACGATTATTTGGAAACAGAACGACAATTTTACTTTACAGATCGACAGGTCAGCAAATCGACAGGTCTACAGGTTAACATGACAAATATCAAATATTCTTTATACCAATTCACTATCATTTGGCAACAGTTCAAAGAATCAAAACGACAACAATTTAACAGGTCGACAAGAAGACCTGACAAATATCAATTATTATATATATCAACTCGTTTCATGTTATTAAAATTTATTTTGCAACCCTAAACTAAATGCTAATGTTAACCCTTACCACTAACATAACCCCTTATCCTAACTCAAACCTGAATTCTTACCGTAACTTTATCCTTATCCTTATCCTTACCGTAAACTTAACCATTACCCTAACCCTAACTATATACCCCAACCCTTAGCCAAAACCTTAATCTTATCCCATAACACTACCCCAACCATAGTTCAAACCCTAACCCCTTATTCTAATCGAAGCCCTATCTTATACCATATTTTAAATCCTATTAAAAGCCCCTTAACGTAAACCTGGCACTTACCCATTACCCCAACCCTAACCAAACCATGACCTTAATCCTTTCCATAACACAATCCATAACATAACCTAAACCTAACTCGAATTCCAGATGTGCCGCCATGTCAACTTGTCAACCAGTTAACCTGTCGATGTGTCAATTTGTCGACCAGCTGACCCGTTGACCAGTCGACCTTTTTATTCTGTCAACCTGTCGACTACCTGACACCAGATCAGATTTTGTTGGTGATTTTTTTTTATATACCGTTTTTCTGCTTCTTGTATAGTTTCTGAATAAATCTCTCAAAAAATGGGTAAAACAAATCGTCATTTAAGGGCTACTCCTTCAATCAGTAATCAACTATCATTTTCAGATATGTTTACTTATTTTTAGAACTTACTTTCCTTGTCAATTTTACTCTATACAGTTTCTTTGTAATTATAAAAAAAATCAAGATAATAACTAAAAACTGCGATATTTGTAAAAAAATGACATATCAAGGGTAATTACTCCAAATACGGGTCTCTGAACTTTTGAAACTAGCAAGAAAGATAGACATTCAACATTGACAGTAAAAAAAAAAAAAAACCGATAATAAACGTTGAATGTAAATGATATGAAACTCCGAAGTCTTATATTATCACTGTGTATCATCGCCACCGGAAATTGGGTACTAACGAAGCGGAGAGAAATGGAAAAAAAAAGTAAACAAGGTAAGAATTCATTCAATTTAAAGCATTTCTACTGATTTGACGAGGGTACCGCTTAAGAAATGATTTTCTGATATATAATTCTTTAAATTATTAGGCCGATAAGTACAAAATTAAGACAATATTTTGTGTTATACTCAAGAACTTGCCACTTAGTACCTGAAAATTTCGAGGTCGATCGTCCTCTGTCGCCCCATTGGCAAGATATTCAACTGTTTTTCATTATTTTTCCAGACACTTTTTTAGATTATTATAGTGTGGCATCATATTTACTGAAATTTGTTGTCAAAATGAACGTTTTTAAAGAATATAGACCATAAAAAATAAAGTCTAGGGTACGGCAACTTGCTCATGTTGACAAATTTACTGTATGGCAACTTGTTTTCAACTGTATGGCAACATGCTAATTTCAAAATATTTATTTGCCGTCTTTCTAAAGAAAATAAAGTATTAGGTTCAAATATCTAATTATGCATTTAATAAAAATACAATTCGCTTGACACCATTTAAGATGTATACACAATATAAGGCTTGAACACAGTCCTATTACATCTTTTACATACCTGACGTAGCGTTAAATGTTACCCATGTCCGTCCGACCCGTCTCTCCCGTCTGTCCAGAAAGTCCCAATAATTGGTTTCCGTTCTCTAACTTTAGTATGCCTTAACCAAATGTTTTAAAACTTACACGAAATGCTTATCACCACAAAACACAGATCAAGTTATAAATTGGGTAGCGTCACTGTTACCGTTCTTGAGTTATGCCCTTTTATAAATGAAAAAAAGCTAAAGCTGTCGTTTCTGTTCTCAAACTTTAGATTGCCTCAACCAAATGTTTTAACCATACAACATTAGTCAGCATTTGCATATAAGTGATGAACATTTCGGGGATGGGTTGTGGGTGGAGGGAAGGAAGGAGGTAATGGCAGGAGAATTTTTCCGCATTGAATATTTAGAACCATTAAGTGAATGAATTCTCTTTCAACTTTCAGATAAAATGAAATATAAACGAATTATCAATCTCTGCAAAAAAAATGTTGTATTGCTACACCACGGCACCATGTTAAGGGAGGTTTGAGTGCTCACAAACATGTTTAAGCCCGCCTCAATATATATGTGTCTGTCCCTGGTCAGGAACATGTAATATAGCGGCTGTCGTAAGTTGCTGCCTGACATATTTGTGTATGATTTTGTCATAAATCAGGCAGTTTTGATACGTTATGGGTTTTGTTCATTGTGAAGTGTGAAGTGTAAAGTAACCAATAGTTGGTCAAATCTATTTCATTTGGACTTTGTTTGAAAGTCCTCTCAGTGAAAACCATTCCACGTCTCCTTTTTCAATTAATGTTATTGTCTTATTTGTAAAAGGCAGATACAGCCAATATATTAGAATAAAGAACATTTTTTTTTTAAAACTTCATCTCTATATGTTAAGAAATGAACAAGCTCGGTGGCTAACACTGTTTAAATTTAAAAAAAATATTAACCTTAGATTAATCATTTTTGGAAAGAATGAAAGAAGAATCCGATACAAGGGATACAAATCCGGCTGTGGCTACGGCATAAACTATTTATATAAACTTTCTACTTGAGAATAAAGATGACCTTGTATGAAGTTTTTATTTGTTGTCATCTTAATATTATATACTTATTAATACAATTCACAAATGCTTACATCTTCGACTT